AAAAGGAAATGCAAGAAAGCAAAGTGGCTGTCCATAGAATCATAGAATCATAGAGTTGGAAGAGACCACAAGGGCCATCGAGTCCAACCCCCTGCCAAGCAGGAAACACCATCAGAGCACTCCTGACATATGGTTGTCAAGCCTCTGCTTAAAGACCTCCAAAGAAGGAGACTCCACCACACTCCTTGGCAGCAAATTCCACTGTCGAACAGCTCTTACTGTCAGGAAGTTCTTCCTAATGTTTAGGTGGAATCTTCTTTCTTGTAGTTTGGATCCATTGCTCCGTGTCCGCTTCTCTGGAGCAGCAGAAAACAGCCTTTCTCCCTCCTCTATGTGACATCCTTTTATATATTTGAACATGGCTATCATATCACCCCTTAACCTCCTCTTCTCCAGGCTAAACATGCCCAGCTCCCTTAGCCGTTCCTCATAAGGCATCGTTTCCAGGCCTTTGACCATTTTGGTTGCCCTCCTCTGGACACGTTCCAGTTTGTCAGTGTCCTTCTTGAACTGTGGTGCCCAGAACTGGACACAGTACTCCAGGTGAGGTCTGACCAGAGCAGAATACAGTGGCACTATTACTTCCCTTGATCTAGATGCTATACTCCTATTGATGAGGCCCAGAATTGCATTGGCTTTTTTAGCTGCCGCGTCACACTGTTGGCTCATGTCAAGTTTGTGGTCAACCAAGACTCCTAGATCCTTTTCACATGTACTGCTCTCAAGCCAGGTGTCACCCATCTTGTATTTGTGCCTCTCATTTTTTTTGCCCAAGTGCAATACTTTACATTTCTCCCTGTTAAAATTCATCTTGTTTGTTTTGGCCCAGTTCTCTAATCTGTCAAGGTCGTTTTGAAGTGTGATCCTGTCCTCTGGGGTGTTAGCCACCCCTCCCAGTTTGGTGTCATCTGCAAATTTGATCAGGATGCCCTTGAGTCCATCATCCAAGTCGTTGATAAAGATGTTGAATAAGACCGGGCCCAAGACAGAACCCTGTGGCACCCCACTAGTCACTCTTCTCCAGGATGAAGAGGAACCATTGATGAGCACCCTTTGGGTTCGGTCAGTCAGCCAGTTACAAATCCACTGAGTGGTAGCATAGTCAAGACCGCATTTTACCAGCTTCTTTACAAGAATATCATGGGGCACCTTGTCAAATGCCTTGCTGAAATCAAGGTAGACTACATCCACTGCGTTCCCTTCATCTACCAGGCTTGTAATTCTGTCAAAAAACGAGATCAGGTTAGTCTGACATGACTTATTTTTCAGAAATCCATGCTGACTATTGGTGATCACAGCATTCCTTTCTAGGTGCTCACAGACTGTTTGCTTAATGATCTGCTCCAGAATCTTCCCTGGTATTGATGTCAGACTGACTGGGCGGTAATTATTTGGGTCCTCTCTTTTCCCCTTTTTGAAAATAGGGACAACATTTGCCCTCCTCCAGTCTGCCGGGACTTCGCCTGTTCTCCAGGAATTCTCAAAGATGACTGCCAGTGGTTCTGAAATCACATCTGCCAGTTCTTTTAATACTCTTGGATGCAGTTCATCTGGCCCTGGAGACTTGAATACATCTAGACTAGCCAAGTATTCTTGTACTATCTCCTTAGTTATTCTGGGCTGTGTTTCCTCTGCTGAATCATTTGCTCCAAATTCTTCAGGTCGGGCATTGTTTTCTTTATCGGAGAAGACTGAGGCAAAGAAGGCATTGAGGAGTTCAGCCCTTTCTGTGTCCCCTGTTTGCATTTCACCATCTTCTCCTCTGAGTGACCCCACGGTTTCTTTGTTCTTCCTTTTGCTACGAACATACCCATAAAAGCCTTTTTTGTTGCTTTTAACCTCTCTAGCAAGCCTGAGTTCATTTTGTGCTTTAGCTTTTCTGACTTTGTGTCTACACGTGCTGGCTATTTGTTTGAATTCCTCTTTGGTGGTTTCCCCCCTTTTCCATTTTTTGTACACATCCTTTTTTAATCTTAACTCAGTTAAAAGTTCTTTAGATAGCCACCCTGGCTTCTTTAGGCACCTTCCATGTTTCCGTCTCATTGGTATTGCCTGAAGTTGTGCTTTTACTATCTCCCTCTTAACAAACTCCCAGCCATCTTGAACTCCCTTTCCTTTTAGTATTACTGTCCATGGGATCTCACCCAGCACTTCCCTAAGCTTTATGAAGTCGGCTTTCTTAAAGTCGAGAAATTGAGTCCTAGTATGCTTGGCTGCTCCTTTCCGCTGTATAGTAAACTTCAGAAGAGCATGATCACTCGCGCCTAATGATCCTTCCACTTCTACCCCACTAACCAGGTCATCAACATTGGTTAGGACCAGATCTAAAATGGCTGTTCCTCTTGTTGCTTCTCCCACTTTCTGGACAATGAAGTTGTCTGCAAGGGCAGTGAGGCCTTACAAATAGCGGAGGAGAGAAGGCAAGCAAAATGTGAGGGAGATAGTGAAAGATACAGGAAATTGAATGCAGATTTCCAAAGAACAGCAAGGAGAGACAAGAAGGCCTTCTTAAATGAGCAATGCAAACAAATAGAGGAAAACAACAGAATGGGAAGAACCAGAGATCTGTTCAAGAAAATTGGAGATATGAAAGGAACATTTCGTACAAAGATTACCATAATAAAAGACAAAAGTGGAAAGGACCTAACAGAAGCAGAAGACATCAAGAAGAGGTGGCAAGAATACACAGAGGAACTATACCAGAAAGAAATGGATGCCTCGTACACCCCAGGTAGTGTGGTTGCTGACCTTGAGCCAGACATCCTGGAAAGTGAAGTCAAATGGGCCTTAGAAAGCACTGCAAATAACAAGGCCAGTGGAAGTGATGGTATTCCAGCTGAACTATTTAAAATTTTAAAAGATGATGCTGTTAAGGTGCTACACTCAATATGCCAGCAAATTTGGAAAACTCAGCAGTGGCCAGAAGATTGGAGAAGATCAGTCTACATCCCAATCCCAAAGAAGGGCAGTGCCAAAGAATGCTCCAACTACCGCACAATTGCACTCATTTCACACGCTAGCAAGGTTATGCTTAAAATTCTACAAGGAAGGCTCAAGCAGTATGTGGATCGAGAACTCCCAGAAGTGCAAGCTGGATTAAGAAGAGGCAGAGGAACCAGAGACCAAATTGCAAACATGCGCTGGATTATGGAGAAAGCTAGAGAGTTCCAGAAAGACATCTACTTCTGCTTCATTGACTATGCAAAAGCCTTTGACTGTGTCGACCACAGCAAACTATGGCAAGTTCTTAAAGAAATGGGAGTGCCTGATCACCTCATCTGTCTCCTGAGAAATCTCTATGTGGGACAAGAAGCTACAGTTAGAACTGGATATGGAACAACTGATTGGTTCAAAATTGGGAAAGGAGTACGACAAGGCTGTATTTTGTCTCCCTGCTTATTTAATTTATATGCAGAATACATCATGCGAAAGGCTGGGCTGGATGAATCCCAAACTGGAATTAAGATTGCCGGAAGAAATATCAACAACCTCAGATATGCAGATGACACAACCTTGATGGCAGAAAGTGAGGAGGAATTAAAGAACCTTTTAATGAGGGTGAAAGAGGAGAGCGCAAAATATGGTCTGAAGCTCAATATCAAAAAAACGAAGATCATGGCCACTGGTCCCATCACCTCCTGGCAAATAGAAGGGGAAGAAATGGAGGCAGTGAGAGATTTTACTTTCTTGGGCTCCATGATCACTGCAGATGGTGACAGCAGCCACAAAATTAAAAGACGCCTGCTTCTTGGGAGAAGGGCAACGACAGGCCTAGACAGCATCTTGAGAAGTAGAGACGTCACCTTGCCAACAAAGGTCCGTATAGTTAAAGCCATGGTCTTCCCAGTAGTGATGTATGGAAGTGAGAGCTGGACCATAAAGAAGGCTGATCGCCGAAGAATTGATGCTTTTGAATTATGGTGCTGGAGGAGACTCTTGAGAGTCCCATGGACTGCAAGAAGATCAAACGCATCCATTCTTAAGGAAATCAGCCCTGAGTGCTCACTGGAAGGACAGATCCTGAAGCTGAGGCTCCAGTACTTTGGCCACCTCATGAGAAGAGAAGACTCCCTGGAGAAGACACTGATGCTGGGAAAGATGGAGGGCACAAGGAGAAGGGGGCGACAGAGGACGAGATGGTTGGATAGTGTTTTCGAGGTTACCAGCATGAGTTTGACCAAACTGCGGGAGGTAGTGGAGGACAGAGGTGCCTGGCGTGCTCTGGTCCATGGGGTCACGAAGAGTCGGACACGACTAAACGACTAAACAACAAAGTTTCCAGGCCCAATTTGAAGTGCTCAGGACTGCAATACTTCCAGGACCGCCTCTGTCCATCTGAATCAGCCCAGACCCTGCCAGCATCATCCTTGGAAGCCCTTCTTAGTGTGCCTCTGGAGAGCCACAACACAAGGATGGGCTCCCCATTGGTGGGATGCCCCAGGGAGGCTCACCTGGCACCTTCCTTACTGTCTTTGGCACCAGGTGAAAACGCTCCCCTTTTCTGAAGCCTTGGCTCATGAAACCATTTATGGCCTTTTAAATGGTGTCTTTTGGCGCGGTGGAGTGGGGTGTGTTTTGTTTGTCATGTGTGTGTTGTTGCTTTTATACTGTAAACTGCCCTGTGATCTGCCCATGAAGGGCGGTATAGACATTTAATAAACAATGGCGAACACGCCCATCCAACAGCACCCGGTGCAAGGCTACCTACAGGTGCTTCCGCCCGCGCCTTTTGGGGAGCCCCCAGCCGCCGCCCGCCAGCATCCTTCCCGGCGGCGGCCCTGCGCGCTTGGGCGCCGCTGCTCTGACCCGCTTCTCCTTCCCTTCACGTGACTCCTTCCCTCACACGTGTCCCCGGCGCGCCCTGCTCGGCGTCGGAGAGGAAGCCGCCGGCGAGCCGGTGGAGCCGCCGGGCGGGCAGGCGGGCGGGCTGCGATGCTCGGGGGGCGTCGGGCGGCGGGGGGCGGCGGCGGGGCCCCCGGGGGGCGGGCGGGCTAGCGGGGGCGGCGGGTCCGGGCCATGGGCTGCCTGCAGAGCGTGGCGTGCAAGGCGCGCGTGCGGCGGGAGCACATCGTGGTGTCGGACGTGTCGGCGTGCATCGAGCCGGGCGCCACGGCCCTGGAGGAGACCTCGCCCATCGTGCTGCGCTACCGGACGCCCTACTTCCGCGCCGCCGCGCGCGTCCTCATGCCGCCCATCCCGCGGCGCCACACCTGGGTGGTGGGCTGGATCCAGGCCTGCAACCACATGGAGTTCTACAACACCTACAGCGACCTGGGCATGTGAGTGGCGCCGGGAAGAGGGGGGGGCTCACCGGGTCGCCATAGGAACCCTGCGCCCTCCCACAAAGATGGCTGCCCCCCCCCCCCGCCGCCGCTCATGGACCCCAAAGGGAAAGGCCGCCGCGGCGGAAGACACCGGGCAGGACAGCTGGGCCGGCCGAGGCTGCCCCGGGAGCAAGAGCACCCCCTCGCCCCGGGGATGGGGTGGGACGGCGCCCTTGGGAGCAGCACCTTCCTTAGCTGCCCTCTTGGGCAAAGGCTGCTCCTTCTTGCCTACAGTTTTCTGGGGCCAAGCAGCCCAAATCGCAGCAAACCCAGGGAGGAAATTGCTGAAATGTCTACAGTTGAAATACAAGCCCCGTGGCAGCTCTCAAGTAAAAGTGAAAATGGGAGAGGTTGGTGAGTTGCGGGTCTTCTGTAGCTTGGCCCTCAGCTGCTTCTCTGTGGGTGTCTCTTCCCCTTCCCTTTCGATGCTCCAACACCTACAGCAACATGGTCCTTTGTGAGCAGTGCTAATTGAGCCCACCTGGGCAGGTGAGAGCACCTGTCCTCATGTCACCAGGCACCCTTCTCCTCCTGCAAGAAAGCACCTTGGACAGTGCACTGCTGTGCCAACCACTGCAAAGCTACACGTCCCCCTTTAAGTGTAGCATCAGGAAAGTGAATGTTCTGTCCTGGCAGTGAATTACCTCCCGTTGCTAGAAGACTCAACAGCACTTTGGAGCTCCTTTTCATGTGGTTGTCTTGGGCCTCATGATGATTTGGAATAACTTGATACTCTTGAGCTCTTATCCTTCCTAATCAGCAATCATAATGATATTTGATTTTTACATTGTACTGTACTTTTATTTCAGAAATCCTTACAGCAGTTCTGTAAGAGAAGTCAATGGATTGTCCCCATATGAGGAGCTGAGGGATAGTAGCAACATATGTATGACAGATTCTACAAAAGAAACCCTTTGCCAGCTTGTTAATTGTCACCCTCTCCTCCCCCCCCCCATTCTGATAGTAAAGACTGTGGCAGCCCTGGCAAGGTTCTTTGGGGAAGCAGTTGCATTGTGGGAGTTCCCCAGTGACACTGCCACCAGATAAAAGGCATTGTGTGTGACATTTGTGGGGAACGTGGCCTCCATGCAAAAGGTAGAGTTGATCCTTAAATCGAATGAAGGCTATTTGTGATTTAAAGGTCAAGACCAGTATTTTGAAGTCTTCCCTGACATAGATTGCTGCTGATAGGCCCAAGGCTCAGTCCCAGTCATAAATTGCTCATTTTGAAAGTTTCTGAACAGTTGTTCAAAGGCAGTTCAGCATAGAACATACAATCATGGGAAAAAGAAAGTACACCCTCTTTGAATTCTGTGGTTTTGCACTTAAGGACATAATCATTGTTCTTTAGAAGGTCTTAAAATTGTAGAACCACCTTTAGCAGCAGTAACTTGAACTAATTTTTTTCTGTAGGACTTAATCTGCCTCTCACATCATTGTGGAGGAATTTTGGCCCACTCTTCTGACTCGGCCATTGCAACCCCTTGATTCTGTTCTTTTTCAGCCATTCTGTTGTTGATTTGCTGGTGTACTTGGGATCATTGTCCTGCTGCATGACCCAATTTCATCCAAGCTTCAGCTGTTGGGCAGATGGCCTCACATTTGACTCGAGAATACTTTAGTATATAGTTCATGGCGAACTCAATGACTGCAAGGTCCTGTGGCTGCAAAACAAGCCCAAATCATCATCCCTCCACCACCGTGCTTGACAGTTGGCATGAGTTGTTTGTGCTGGTATGCTGTGTTTGGTTTTCACCAAACATGGTGCTGTGCATTACGGCCAAACATCTCCACTTTGGTCTCATCTGTCCAAAGGACATTGTTCCAGAACAATGTTTGTTTTTCAGTTGCAGTAAGATCCTACCACAGTAGATATATTAATATTGGAGGTGCTGAAAGACTCTTTGTTATTTAAGTGAACAATGGAATGGGGTAGAAATTGAGGTATGCACATGTGTGTGAGAGAGAACCTGCATCTTAGAAGCTCTTGAGGGTGCTCCCTGTTGGGTTCTCATAGATCTACTGCATAGCCTTCTATGTTCCCCTAGTGTGAAGGTCAGATTTTAGAGCAGAAAACATCTGTGGCCCACCAGATGTTTCTGGAGCACAACTCCTATCATCGCTGGCAATTGGCCTAATGAGAGGTGGATGGTGGCAGCATTGGGAGGGCCACAGGTTCCTTATCCCTATTTTAGAGAGTGACGTAGTATCTCAAAGAGCAGCACTACACTTTACCAGAAGAGTGATTAGCAGCAGTTCAATTAGAAGGGGACAGGTTAACGATGCTCTTGGTGTAGCACTAAAGTAATTGCTATCCCTGTTCTCTTTCTCTTGGGTTCCCTTTGTTCTCATACTGTGAAATGGGGTAGATAGATAAAAGTGGATCCAAACCTGAATCCATCCCTCCTACTGGAATCCCTGAGGTTGATGTATTAGTGTGCTTGAAAGTGTTGGGCACAGTCAGCTTCCTGCTGCTTCAGTGGCATCGTTGCAAAAGTTGCCAGTGAAGGGATGCTGTCTATGTGAGAAGGTTGTGTCACAATCAATACATACTAGCCAAAGCTATTTGCTTAGAAGGCTGTCTGCTGCTGAAGTGTTGTACATCATTTTACTTCAACTCTTTTGCCATTTAGAGTGGTAGTTTTTAATCTTTCCAGGCCTGGGAAATACATTTAGATCCAGCCTGAAGCATAGGACTCACTTTTAGTATTTTTTCTATACCTTTTATTGTATTTTTAGTTTTTCATTCCCCTTGCCCTCCCATTTCCCCCCTCTTCCTTCTTGCTCTTAAACATTCTTAGCAACTGTTAATACAGCTCTTAACCCATGTTTTTATTTTGTTTTTGCTTTGCCCCTCTAGGTCAAGCTGGGAACTTCCAGACTTGAGAGAAGGGCGTGTAAAAGCCATCAGTGACTCTGATGGAGTGAGCTACCCCTGGTATGGGAACACCACAGAAACAGTGACCTTGATTGGCCCCACCAATAAGGTCTCCAGGTTCTCCGTCAGTATGAATGACAATTTCTACCCCAGCGTAACGTGGGCTGTTCCTGTGAGTGACAGCAACGTGCCACTACTAACCAGGATCAAACGGGACCAAAGCTTTACGACGTGGCTAGTAGCCATGAATATGACCACCAAGGAAAAGATTATTTTGCAGACTATAAAGTGGAGGATGCGAGTGGACATTGAAGTTGATCCCATGCAACTCTTGGGCAAGCGAGCTCGGCTAGTGGGGAGGACTCAGCAGGAGCAGCCCAAAATTTTGAGCAGAATGGAACCCATCCCACCAAATGCACTAGTGAAACCCAATGCCAATGATGCCCAGGTCCTTATGTGGAGACCCAAAAGAGGACCGCCTTTGGTAGTGATACCACCCAAATAAAAAAATACACTTGATGGTATCAATGAGGGCTTTTGCCACCACTGGCATGGATAACTGAGCCAAAGAAGACCTCTGTGTTCACCTGCCTTTTGCGATACAAACGCAAAGAGGGCTTCTTCAAGACAGCGTGAGATCACAATGGCCAGTGCTAGGCCACAGTAGAGTAGCTGGACGTATGGACTTCGGAAGATTTAGGTTGTTTCACACTTTGAGTGTGTTCTCATGTGGAAAGAGGCTGAAACACAGAGATCCAGAGTTTGATTTCCAGTGCCTGTGGCCAATGCTGCTTCCCAGCCAACTAGATGTAGTCCTGGAGGCTGTTCTTACCAGACATTCAGTGCAATGCCTGCTCTTTGGGTTAAGACAGGAAGGGATGGCATATTCCCACAACATGATACCTATGCATTTTTGATTGATAATCAATATTATCACCTGCTCATTAGAAGGAAGAAAATGTTTACAAAGGGGGGGACAAGAATGCCGTCTGTTAAGCTTCACATTTGTAGAAAGTGCAGCTTTATCCCGAGGAAACTGTCCATGGTGCTGAACTAAAACACATTTTGAACTACCAATAATATCACCCACTCTCCCTCTTTCTGGGGCTAATTGATTCGGCCTCATCGGGTTCAGACCTTTTGCATGTTTCTTGGTGTGTTTCAAGTAGTTGTAAGTGTAGGAGTTCTGCCATAGTTTTCTATGCTGTGGGTGAAGTGCAAGGCAAATCAACTGGCTACACCTTAAAAACAAAACAAAATGAAAAACCACACACCATCCCCAGTTCTGCTTTTTATCCAAGCACAGTTAATCTGTATTTCAGAAGATTGTCTGTGCACAGTATGTTTCTCCAGCACAGTGGGAAAGGGTTATATCTGGCACCCAGAAAAGCCCAGGCATAATATTGCTCAGTGTTTGGGGGGTGGGGGCGGGTTGGATTCTAACAATCTTGGTATGTTGTTTCTACCATAGGAAGATTGAGATTGCCTTTGAACAAGGAAAATGGGTAATGCTGGAAACACTACTTCTTTCCATATCCTCCCAATCAGTGACAGTTTTGCTCATGGTGGAGAAAAGACTGGGAGAAAGAACACCACCTGGAGCAAAAGCGTTATCTTGTTAATGGACAGTCAGAGCTGGACAGAAACTCACAAGGTTAGATGCCACTAACTGACTGACTGACTGACTGACTGACCTACTTATTTATTTATTTATTTATTTCCCACTTTCCTCCAAGGAACGGAGGATGGCATACATGGCTCCCTCATTTTGTCTTCACAACAGCTCTGTGAAGTAGCTTAGGCTGAGAGAGTATGACTTGTCCAAGATCATGAAATTACCTTCATGGCTGAGTGGGGATTTGTATCTGGGTTGCCAAGTCCTTGTCCAACACTATTTGAAAATGCATGACATAGAGGGAAGGTTTTCTGAAAATTATTCCTTTCCCATATTTAATGTAGTTAAGGAAAGTATTATTAGATCATCCCATATTTGAGGAGGAATTTTTGATTTTATGTAGGATAAATGAAGATTGGAAGGTAATGGGAACTTCTCTTGAGCATTTGTCAGAACCACAGATTGGTAGCATCTTTGCTTATGATGGTGATGGTGTCCTAGCAGGAAAGGGAAGAGAACCTATGGAGTTTAGCTCCTGTGAAATCTCCAGAGATGTGCAGTCAGCTTACTTCTCTTTCTGCTCTGTTGCTGACTCTCAGCCAACACCCGTTCTGGAAAACTGGGAGGAGGAACACAGTGCCTCAGTGACTATAGCTCCAAGCTTTGGTTTTTGGTTCTCCAACTGTGGAAATGGAGCATTAAAAGGCTTTTGAGCAAAATTAGTGTAGAAAAGTGTGTAGAAGATCAAAACTACTGACATTAACTCCCAGAATAATGTGAACATACTACTTCAGATAGAAAATGTAGATGAGAGATGAACAGAAGTTGAAGATTTATGTTGTGAATTACTGTATAACAAAGAACTAGTTGCAGAATCCATAATAGCACAGCACATGGGGCCTTTTTGTGGATTCCCACCATAATTCTGCAAGTAGTCAGCTATTGGCCTTAAGAATTTAAATTCTCAAGTGAACAGAGATTGGCACTCCTAAAGAGTGATACATTTTCCACTGAGTTCTTCATCTAGTCCCATCTCTTTTAGAGCTATGATTTCATTAGTCTCCAGGTTCCTCACTCAGCTCTTCAGCTGAAGTGCCCAGGGAGGTCAGATCAGAGCAGAACAGAGGGGTATTTGTCATGATCTGGGCACTATATTTCTGTTGATGTAGCTTAGAATTGCCTTAGCTTTTTTAGCTGCCACTTCATCCTGCTGAATCATGTTTAGCTACTAAAACCCCTAGATCCTTTCTACATGTACTGCTGCCAAGCCAGGTATCACCTATCCTTTATTCGGGCACCTTAGCCTACCATAATGCAGAACTTCATATTCATTTTTGTTGAAATTCATTTTGCTTGTTTGGTTTTGTTAGTTTTGGCCCAGATCCTGCCAAGATCACCTTGATTCCTGCATCTAAGTATTAGCAAGAACTCTCAGTTTAGTGTCATTTGGAAATGTGATGAGCAAACATTGGACAGCACTGGGTTTAGGGAAACCCTGAGTGTTTCTAGGTTGATGACCCATTGAAGAGCACTCTTTGGGAACAGTACCTAGCTTTCCATCAAAATATGAGAGACCTTGTTAAAAATCGTTAAGATACTTTGTGCACATCTGCACCCCTGATCTAGCAAGCCATTAGCTGTAGCCCAAAAGGAGGAGATGAAATTAGCTTGACATGAACTCTTGCTGGCTCTTTGTAACCATTGTGCTTTTTTAAAGACAGACCAACTGTTAATAATCTGTTTAGAATTTTTCTAAGCATTGATGCCAAGTGAACTTGCCATCAATCACCCTTTGTGTCGCTATCTTCAGAAGGGGGGAATTTGCCCGCCATCAGTCACCTAGCATGCCACCTGTTCTCCAATAAGTCTCAAAAATTACAAGGACTCTGATACAGTCATACCTCGGGATGAATATGCTTCAGGTTAAGCATTTTCAGGTTGTGCTGCCACATGCGCAGATGCTCAAAATGACATCACGCCCATGCACAGAAGCAGCAAAACACGACCCGCGCAGTCGTGTGCTACGTTCACTTCAGGATGCGAATGGGGCTCCGGAACGGATCCCGTTCGCATCCAGAGGTACCACTGCATTATCTCTGCCATGCAGCTCATGTGACCCTGGACCTCATTTAGGGCAGCTAGGTGTTGCTGTTTGCATCTTGAGTAATAATTCCCTTAATTATTTCATCTATCTTTTTATTTTTTATTTTTGGCAGAATTTCACTTTTGGGAGAAGACAGAGGTGAAGTGGGAGTTGAGCAGTCCCATCTTCTCCCTGCCTCCCACTAACATTTCCATTCAACTGATCTATGGTTTTCTTGTTCTTCCACTTGCTCCAGACTGGCTCCTTGTTGTTGTTTTTAACCTTTCTCACAAGCCTAAGTTCATCCTGAGCTTTATCTCCCTGACACTTGCCCTACAACTTTGGCTATCCATGTGTCCTCATCCGTGATAGTCTGCCCATGTTTTCATCTCTGATAAAGAACATTGGGGGAATGTAACCAAAGTCTTCCTGCCCAGCCTGTGTGGATTCTCAAGACCTGTGCCTTTGCTTGGCCCTGGCTGGGAGCAACTGCTATTTCCATTACCTGAGCAAACCAGTGACTGTTTGAGGAGCCTAATGCTCTGAAAGACTAGGACAAACTCTTCCTGGAAATGTTCTGCACAAAGGATTATAATTGCCTCCCAAAAAGCTGAATGGAGAGTTTTATTATTTTCTGCTGTTTCTGAAAATTAAAATAGAACAGCTTATTGAAAGGTAGTGCAGTTTTAAATATATATTTTCTTATAAAATATCTATTTAAAATTAATTATCCTAATTCTGGGAAAAAGAAAATAAACAACGTTGCAGAAAAGGAAAGGAACAGTGAATTATAGTATGGAATACCCCCGCTCCAATCACACCCTAAATGTTGGTACTTGAATATCTAACTTAAAGTAAGGGCAGCCATGATCAGGGGACTGGAGCAACTCTGTCATGAGGAAGGCTTACAACATTTGGGACTATTTACATGAAAGAAAGACATAAGGAAGGACATGATAGAGGGGTCAAAAATTATGTATGGTGTAGAGAAAGTGATGAGAAGTTGTTCTGTTTTGAACCATGGCCTCAGCAGTACAGAGGTTCCACAAAGGCTTCTGAGGTAGAAGAGGGCAACAGCATATCTTCAGGCGGGAGACATCCTGGCCCAACTAGGTCCTCTTGCAGAAATTCCTCTCCCACTTCAGCTCTGTGGCCTCATCCCCTGAAGGAGGGATCTGACCCCAGAGGGATGGCAAGTCTTTCTTCCTCTCTCACAACACTCCAATCCAAGACCCATCCAATTAAGCAGAAGAATGGGAGACGGGGACTTTTTCACCCAGCACAGAGTAAATTGCCGTGTTCGGTGGGCTTCGCACAGACATTGGACTGAAGACCAGTTGCTGGGCAGCATCAGTGGGAGGGGGCTGTTGCCCTCATGTCTGCTCCCTGGCTTCCCATTGACCTGTGGCTGGGGGAACAACCTGCAGGGCTAGATTGGCCTTTGGTCTGATCCCTCAGATGAGCCTTTTTGGTGTATTGAAGAAACTCATTAGGAGAGAGGTGTGCATGCACCTCAGTTCCCCTTTCTGGCTATCATGTGCCTAATGCTTGTTCTTTTACATGGTCCTGGCCCCCTGGTCAGAATGCTGCTTCTCAGCAGTTTTTTCTTTTTGAAGATGGACAACAATATTGTTTGTCCCTGACAGCGTTAAAAGGCCTGTGTGAGAAACCAAAAACTGCCCCCATTGAAGATTTGCAGACAGCCAGTCCCCAGGCCAGAAATGCAAGCTAGCAAACATGCATTGGTGCAGTAGAATAGAGATCTGATTGACAACTAATACTGATGTCTTGTTACTTGGCTTTGGGATATAAAAGATGGAACCCACATCTGTGCAGTATAGTAAGTGGTGTTGTGTACATTAGACATGGCTATTCCAACAATCCCACTTGCCATGATAAGTGTTGTGCTACCTTTGGGCAGGAGGAATGGCCCGCCTCCAGGGATTGAACCTGCAGGTGTAGGCAGAGATCTGCCTGCTAATTGCTTGGCAGTCCCCACCACCTCCAAAGCTATTTGCCAGCTACATGGCAAATATACCCTGGAGAGCCGTGTCGGGGTGGAATTTGGTCTTTCAGATTTTAGTGGCACCTTGAGCAAGGGTTGACACCAACTTCCCCAGAGAGGGGTGGGGGGCGGGTTGGGGCCTTCAAGTTTGGCTTAGCCAGCAAAACTGATAATTGGTATCCGTTCTCCTTGCAACTTGACTTTACTTCAAGCTACTTCACTGTTTGAGATACTGTAACTAAAAAGTGTTTGTGTGTGTATTTTAAGTGTGTTGCTCAAGTGAAGATCAATCAGGGGTGGTGATTTAAGAGGTCCCTCTTAGGCACATTGCAGGACCTCACTGCTTCTTGGGTGAGCGAGAGCATGGAACTCAATAGATACAACTTAAGGTGCAGGGAATGTTCAGGGAGAATGAGCCCAAGATGTTCAAAGCAGGGACTAATATTGTAAGCACTTTAGTCTTTGTTTGAGTGTGATGCCCAGCTGTGAAGGAATGCAGGTGTGTAGCCCACTAGCTAATTTCAGGCCCAAGTCAAAACTGGCCCCCACTCCAGGCTGCTTTTTGTCAATAACAAAAATATTTTTTTTGAAACATTTGGCACAACTGGTTCAGATACTGGATTAGTGGGTCATCAGAAGGGTCTCTGGCAGTGCCTGGGTCAGCTGTTCTAACATACAATAGGTAGAAGATCCCAGGAAATGGGTATATTTAGAATGGGATGGAGTCCTAGGAAAGCAAGAAAAATGCAGAGAAGGTACCAGGCCAGTTCTCAGATTACATTGGGGGCAAGAGAAGGCCTGACCCCTTACCCTTTCATTGGCCCCCTTAGCTCCTGTTTCTAAAGGCTTCAGAAAGCATGACTGGGCTAAAATTGGGGTGACTCAAGGTGGCTTGTGGGTTTCATTAGGCCCCCCCCTACTTTTCTCATATAAAAAAAGACTAGCATCTTTAGAGGGAATGGAAAGCCAAAAGACTATGGCCAACAGTCAAAGAGGTGAGAATGACTGATACTACATATTGATTGAAAACAGCCAACCAGATCTTTATGGGGCTGACATCTGCCAATGTAAATATGCAAGCCTTTCTGTTAAACAGCACCCCTTCCAAATTCTCACCTGTGCATAGGACAATGCTATTTCTAAAAACTAATGCTCCCCTCATTTCATAACTGTTGAGCATTCTCTTTTGATTAAATTATTTTGCATTAAGGATGTACAAAATGGGCACATTTTGCATTCTCAATAGTTCCTAGCCCTTAATAGGTTTTGGAAGCACTGCTGTTGTTGTTTTAAGAAAGTGTTTTTGGTGTCTGCAACGAGGCTGGAAGAGAGCAAGGAGCTTAGCACTATAAAGTTGTCAATTTTTTTCCTTAATGTTGAGGTTGTATTGGTTAGGAATTTATATAGACATAAAAATATAAGCATTAACTTGGATATAATGGCCTCATTTGCATGTATTTTTAAACGATAGCTAAATAAATGACAGTTTAAAGGTGAACACTCAGTGTGCTGGTGCACACTATTAGAGTTGTGGCCCCGTCACTCCTCCCCAACTGCTGCAACCTTAGTGACGATTTAGACCAGGCTTCCTCAACCTTGGCCCTTCAATTCCCATCATCCCTGGTCCTGCTAGCTAGGATCATGGGAGTTGTAGGCCAAAAACATCTGGAAGGCCGAGATTGAGGAAGCCTGACTTTTAGACCAATGAATTCATGGCTTTTCAGTTATATGATTCAGCCGCTATCCACTATCCACCTTAGAAGACAAAAACTATGGCTGAGAATGAGCTTCCTTTCTACTCTGCTAAGTTTTGTGCACATTATCCAGCAACAGCCATTGGCACAATAAAAAATCCTGCCTGCACTGCTTCAGCTTTCTTCCTAGGGGCTGGCAGCCTTGGCAGTCTTTGCTTTCCCCAGTTCTTTGGGCTATCTTAGAACATTTTACTGGATCCCACTTGCAACTTGCTATAAATTGGATTCAGTGGGTTAAGTTGCAGGGAACTGTGTGGCAAATTGCACCTTGGGTCAGTTAAGTGGACTTGCTGGACCCTACCAACCTGTAATCGTTGCTTCTACCAAATGTATGCAATCTTACCAGTTGGCCATGTCTGTTTTGAAATGGTTCCCCCCCCCCCCATCTTCTTGAAGCAGCCTCCCCCAATGTGCTCCTGCTGTTTTAGACCAAACTCCATCATCTCCAGCAACATGCTTATAGTCCAAACTGCAGGCTGAGAGCACCAGGGTGCAGAAGACTGTTTCGAAAGGATCCAACATCTCTCAGGGATAAAAATAGAGCCTGTTTGTAGAATGGGGACTCACAAACTTTCTCCAGCTCTGAAACTGGACATTAACCTTCTTCAGTGCCCAGCTGCCTTTCGTGCAAATGCATGTCACACCTGTGCCTTTGCACAATGAGCTCCAGCCTCCAGAGTGGATGCATAGGAGCCGCATCCCCAAGACATCTGTTGCAGCAGGCTGGGCGGTCTGCCTTCACCACTAGAGCCAGTAAACCCTTGTGGACTTTTCAGATCCATCTTCTGGGGCCTCAAGAGTAGAGCAGCCTCCCCCTTGGCTTTCACAGATCTCAGAGCTGTGTGGCGGCGACTCTGTTAAAAACACCTTGCCCTTTTTGCGAGAAAGCTGTTCCCGCGCTGGACCCTGGGCTTATCCCACACTTGTCCTCTGCTTAGCAAGCACAGGTCTGAGTAGTTTTGCCTCTGCCCTGCTGCATCCCCCAGGAAGCCTGCTCTTTTAGCACTACATCTGCAGAAAACCCAACGGCTGTTTGTTCCAATTCAGTGCTAACCCACAGGTTTCCCCAGGGGTGGGGGGAGCGGCAGGGTAAATGGAAGTGTGGATGAGCCCAGAGAAAGCAGCCCTCCACAACTCCACTCTGCGTAGCTCCATGCCAAATTCTGTGCTTATCTTAATGTTGTGCATCAGGGAAGCAAGCACACTTTGTGTTCTGGACTTGAACATGAACTGCTTTAAACTGAAGGGTACTTACTCAGCTTATTTATTTGAAGTTATTTTTTTCAGTTAAGAGACACATGCACCCTCCTCAGGTGAGCTCCTGAGTATGAAAGGTCTACTGAAAATGGAGGGTGGGGTCGGTTGTACTGAAACAGAGCTATACATAGGGAGGGATGATTTTCTCACATGTGCTATTTGTTGTCTTAAGCTTCAACCTTGTTGTTGTCCTTTTTCAACAGGATTGGTGGCTATGAATACAACTTCCATTAAATCAGTTGAGGGGGTTGGAGAAAGAGGGTTGAATCTATTCCTTTCGATGTGATTCTCCTTTCATACCTTTGTCTGCTCTTTTTGGATCGCCCTCACCAATAGCAGACTTTGGGCTCTCAAATTCCAGTGCTGCCCAGCATGTCACTAAAATTTGGCAGCCCCACCTCTTGGGGCTCTGTTCTACAGCGTCATGGTGGTGCCCCGTGCAGTGTGGTGTCCAGTGCAGCCAAACTGGTCATAATACTCTAAAACTGCCTCTGCCCTTGCACCCTCAGTTTTCTTCCTTCTCCCTTTGTGGTGTGTGTGTATTTTTTACTCCTGCAGTATTAGATGTTGCCAGTTTCCAGAGATATTTATAGGAGCAGAAGCATGTGGAAGTCACTTTGGAAAGAAAAATCAGGTATTCTGCCATTTTGAAAAGACTGGAAGCAGGGAAGGAAGAGGCAAGCGGGCTTTGCAGAGTGCCTTAATACACTGACTTTAATCTGAGATGGGAAGGGGATTGCTCTTTATCTCTGAGTTTTATAGAGGGTCAGGCAATGCTGCATTCCACTTTTCTGGGGTTTAAAACAAATTGTCAAATACATCATGTATTGCAAACAGAAGGCTGTTTCCTTTATTTTGGGGAGATGGGGCAGGTTTAAAGCTCTGGCTTCCAAACGTCAGTAACATTTGGGAGAGGATTCCATGGACGTTCATCAACCAGGAAAATGACTAAACTAGAGGCTCCGATGATCTGTCTCACATCTGCAGAACCTTTGATTTTCTCAGCCAGTGTGGTGTAGTGGTTAAGAGCGGTAGTCTCGTAATCTGGGGAACCGGGTTCGCGTCTCCGCTCCTCCACATGCAGCTGCTGGGGTGACCTTGGGCCAGTCACACTTCTTTGAAGTCTCTCAGCCCCACTCACCTCACAGAGTGTTTGTTGTGGGGGAGGAAGGGAAAGGAGAATGTTCGCCGCTTTGAGACTCCTGAAGGGGAGTGAAAGGCGGGGTATCAAATCCAAACTCTTCTTCTTCTTCTTCATTTCTTGGTTATGGTTCAAAGATGTTAACATGATGCCTAACCCAACACATGTGTGTGTTTTTCCTCGTAGATACCTTTAAGCATTTGTAAGATGGAACTCTTCAGTAGGGCTTCTCTGGCAAATTTCAAATAATGAGGCGGTTGATGGAGAAATTATCCCCTTAAATTCAGGAGACCAGGGAAGGCAGCACTGCCATTTGGGGCTGGGAGACCAACTCCAGAGGAGGAAGGGCCCCCTCAAAGTTCCAGGCTAATGTCCTGCTAAAAATGACCAATTCAGCCTGATAAACTTTAAACAACTGAATAGGCCTGTTGGCAAAAGTGTCTTAAAGAGACATCTGAAAACCAGCTGCAAGGGTGCTTGCCAAATCTCTACTGGAAGGGCATTTCACGGTATGACACTGGGAACGCTAAATACCTGACTTCTGGCTGAACCCATTTGGGCTTCTGAAACATAAAAGGTAAAGCTAAAGGGACCCCTGACCATTAGGTCCAGTCGTGGCAAACTCTGGGGTTGCGGCACTCATCTTGCTTTATTGGCCGAGGGAGCTGGCATACAGCTTCCGGGTCATGTGGCCAGCATGATTAAGCTGCTTCTGGCGAACCAGAGCAGCGCACGGAAACGCTGTTTACCTTCCTGCCGGAGCGGTACCTATTTATCTACTTGCACTTTGACGTGCTTTCAAACTGCTAGGATGGCAGGAGCAGGGACCAAGCAACGGGAGCTCACCCCGTCGTGTTGATTCAAACCACTGACCTTCTGATCAGCAAGTCCTAGGCTCTGTGGTTTAACCCACAGCGCCACCCGCGTCCCTTCCTTCTGAAACATAGGCGGCCACTATTAGCTCTTCTCTGAATGATCTCAGTGATTGAGCTGGGGTAGAAAGGCTGAGGCAGTCCTTAGGGTATCCTGGACCCAAGGAGGTAAAGAATTTTGTGGACTGAATCTGGCCTGGCAGCATATAGGCAGCAAGTGCAGCAGTTTTCATGCCCTCCAAGTGTCCCTATTTTCCAGGGAAGGTCCTGGAATTATGAAAGCCTGATCTGATCTGATCTCAGAATGTCCCTCTTTCCCCCACTGGTGCCACCACCACCAAGCCTAGGGAGGAGCCAGTGCTTGTGGTGCAGCGGTGGCTGCATTGGGAGCATCCCACGGCCTCTCCTGGGCTGCTGCTGCCAGCCTCCTCTCTTGGGCAGCTTGTAGCAGCTGTGGAGGAGGAGGCTGCTGCCAAAGACCAGCCCTGTGTGACGTTCTGACTCTGAAGGGCAGGTATAAAGGGGGAGCAGAGCGGAGCGCAAGGAGTCCTGCTTTTTTTTTATTTAAAAAAAGCTTTCTGTGTCCACGTCTAATCTTCTTCCCTTTCTAAAATTTATTTATTGGTGTATTTTTCTTTTTGCAAATCTACCAAAGAATGAAATCAAATCAAATCAGGAATGGCAGATTTTTCTGGGATGGTGCTGTGTCCCGTTGGTGTAACGGTGGTGGAAATGCTCAGAGGGCCAGTTGGTGGGGTGAGAAATGTCCCTATTTTCATCTGAGGAATGTTTGCGGGGGGGGGGGGTGAATTTTAGCAGAAGTGTTCTGTCAACCATCTGCGCCCATCAGAGGTTTGACTGCTGCATTTCGCACCAGCTGGAGTTCTGGACTAGGCCTAAGGCAGGCTCACAAAGTTCACTTTCAGCAATCCAGTTTGGAGGTCCCCAGTGCACGGACTAGAGTGGCTAGACCACCCTTATCCAGATGTAGCTGATGGACCACCTGAAACACTTGAGCCTCCAATGACAAGCAAGGCACCTGCTCCTTCAGAGGGAGTGCAACCCCATTCAGAATAGGAAATGGGTTTGCCAGCTGTACCTGGAAGCCGCCTACCCAGCCACACTCCGTTTGTTGGCCCTCTTCCAGTCTGCCACTACATTCTGGCCCTGGTCCAGGGCTTGCTCAGCCACGCCCTATGCAAATGTTAAGGAGAAACAGGTGTGCGCCATCAGAATACTGACCACCCTGCGCTCTAAAACAGTTACCAATATCAGGCTCATGTTGACATTAAATAGGATTTGGAGACAAAATAGTGCCCTGTGGGATCCCATAGCAGAAGTGCCGGGGGGGGGGCAAAAAATACTCCCCTTGCCCTACTCGGTATGTACTCAACTGCACATGGAGGAAGGGCAGCACTGAAATACAGCACCTCCCAATGCACAGTCAAGGATACTGTGGTCTCAAGATTGGAAAGAAAACTGAATATCAAATTGAAAATCTTTTAGGCACTACATAACTCAGTTGTTTTGCTATAACAGACAACCATAGGAAATTATGGTATTTATTAACAGAGAAATCCAATCTATCACACAACCAAATTCATCTATTAGGAAATGATGGTGCAACTGGTGCAGGGCAAACTTCAGAAATCCTCTCCTCCCATTACCATGACAGGCATCCTTTGGGTCTCCCTCCCGCTGGCCCCAACTACCGTATTTTGCGCCCCATAGGACGCTCCGGCCCATAGGACGCACCTAGTTTTTTGGGGGGGAAATAAAAAAAAAAATATTTCCCCCCCAGGTGCGGGGCTGGAAGAACCAGGTCGGGGAACAGCGGGAAGGCACGCTCTGCCTCCCCGCTGTCCCCCGAGCTAGTGGGGCTGGCGATGGGGAGAAGTGCGCTGATCCCGGGACTGCAGGCAGCTCTGCGCAACCCTTGGAGCTGGTCTCCCGAGGGTTGCGCAGAGCTTCCTGAAGCCTGGAGAGCGAGAGGGGTCGGTGCGCACCAACCCCTCTCGCTCTCCAGGCTTCAGCGAAAGCCTGCATTCGCCCCATAGGACACACACACATTTCCCCTTCATTTTTGGAGGGGAAAACGTGCGTCCTATAGGGCGAAAAATACGGTAATCTGCTGTTGCAGGCAAGGGGGGAAGCAAGCCAGATGGTTGGCTTGGGCTGTCACTCAAGTTAATCCACTCAATGCTAGAGAAAGACAGCTTCAGCCCAGCTAAAAATGTCTGGTATCATGGACAGAAACTGGCCTTGCCTTTCTGCTGAGCAAGTGTTTCATGCGATCTCAACCAGTTAAGGGTGGTGTGCCAAAGAACAAAATCAAAGTGGTTCTGGGTTAACATGCGCGCGGGGAGCTCGGAGACAGGAGGTCCAAAGTGGGGGAAGCTCAGGATCTCACTGGCCCCTTTCTCCACACCATGCATCATTTTGTGAAAGCCCTTTCATCTCTCCCCCAAACTTCCTTCTAAACTAAACAGCTCCGGATGCTGCAAGGTCTCCCCACAGGTGATTTGCTCCAGTCTCTTCATGATTTGGGTTGCCTTTTTCTGCACCTTCCGCAACTTTATTTTTAGGTGCAGCAACAGCCCATCCTCCTTTTGTCACATGTTCCCAGCCCTCATTCATTGTTCAGAAAAAGAGACCATTCTAAATTTTGCAAGGCATGTTACGATAATGCATGTAGAATGGCATAGTTTATGTGTGCAAACAGAACTCATGCATACAGATGAGTTCAATGTGTATGCTACAGGAGATCTTTTTAAATACAGAATTCTAGAGCACCTGATGTTACGCCTAGGAAAGAGTAGTCAGCGTGACCAAAATTATAAACAAAAAGCACAATACACTTTTCATGCCACCTTTATTAAGTCTGAATATTACATCTTGAAAGCAATAATTACAGAAAAGAGCAAAGTCCCAAGAGTTCTCCCACCTGACCTTATCCAGAAATTCCATCTAAACCCTGAAGAACAAGCCTCCTAGACTTGCAGGCAAAACAAGTGGCTCTTCCTATTCCCCTTCTAGGACAGGAGCAGGAAGCTGCTAATATTTATCTGAGGCTTGTCAGCCAGCCAGGACCCAAAACACCAGAGGACATACAAGCACCTTCTCTCTCCAACCACACCATTAAGGTGGGTGGGGGTGGTAGAAAACATTGTTCAATCTGTATCAGCACAACCCTACACTGAGCACCATGGCACACACACCCCTTTTCCTGTGTCCTGGTCACTCCCCATTCAATCCCAGGGCCCAGTCAGAAATGCTCACTATTAGCCCTGCTCATCCAAGTCAGTATCTATACATTGCTCCCTGGCTGGGATGGACACACAACACTCTTGAGTTTAGCACCACTAGGATGAACATGCAGAACTTCTGGTGATCCAAAGGCATCAGATGAATACCAGTTCTGAGGCTGGCTCAGGAATACTTGGGAAGGCAGAGAGTATGTGGCCATATAGTCACATGGGTGCAGGCTTAAAGCCAAGCAGCACTCGGGAGCTGTGTCTGCCTTGCTCTCATCACTTTTAAGATTAGCCCGTTGCAAAACTATTGCTCAGCAGTAGGGGGATGAAAACGGGCATTCTGAGCCCAGGTGAGACTTCAGTTGAAACCTTTTTCTCTTAACAGCTCCCCCATCTCTCATCATACCAGAGCCCAATGACCTACATTTCTGAAAGCACAAGCCAAAAATGGTGCTTTCCTTACCCCCTTCCCTCCCTTCTTAGCTGATAATACAAACCTGAGGTCCAGATGTGATATGAAGCTAGTGGCAGAGCCATTTGGGCACCCAGTTCTGGTTCAATTCCTTCCCCCA